GGGTGAGCGGGTGGGGACCGTTTTTTTTTTTTTTTTTTCTTTTTAAATCTTAATACTCACTTTCGCAGCGTCATGGTTTGGAAACCGAGACTCCACCATCCTGAGAGGTTTCCATCTCTCTCTGGGGGCTAAAGGCTCACCTTTGACTGCTGACACGGCCTTTAATTTAGATGGCGAAAGGAAAACCATCAGGTTTTAAAGCACAGCCTTAGTGCTTCAGTTGTTTGCCCACGGTTTGTTTGTATCGTCTGGAGGAGGGAAATGGACTCTAAGGAATGACAGTTCTAGCAAAACAAATTACAAGTAAATACATCTAAACTGTACTAAAGGGTAAGAGAAAAAAAATCGAGATGAAGTTTTGGAGGGAGGAACATGATTCACTAATTCCCAGTCTTGGCGGGACAGTTACCTCCAGTCACCGAAAGCCCAATGTCAGCAGCTCACAGTATGAAGGGGCTCAGTTATCTTTTTCTGCATTAACCATAGGGTGACTTACCCTATAAAATCTGAACACAGCATATTTTCAAAATTGGGTTAAACTTACTCTTGAAGAGATGTCTGCCAGAAGAGGAAGCAGGCTCAGAGAACCTTGGTCCCTTGGGGGTTACTTCGGGGTTTGCTGCTGTGCCTTTTTGGAGAGTCTTCCCCTGCCCCTCTGCTTACAGGCAGGAACACCCATCGCTTTCCCAGATCACTCTTCATCCATCCATTCCTACACGCCACAAAACCACAGGGTGCTGCTACCTAGATTAGACTACAATTGCCTTTTTTAAATTACTATTAACAAAAAAAATGAAAGTAATGACATTTAGAATAGCTTGGGTTTAAGCAGTGCACCAAAATTACGACCCTGAAAATGGAATTATCCAGTGAAGAAACACTTCCCTTTTAAAGGCAAACTAACTCGTTGGTTTCAACAAAAATGTCACCCCTCAAATAATTCTTCAAACTTAACATTGTGTGAATTTTTGTTTACCTGAAAATTAATTTTGCTGACACCCTCCTCCCCCAATCTTTAGTCTACCTACTTCCAAGCATAAATTCTGCTTTGAACTACTGCACATGTGCTCTGCTCTGAGTTTCGGCATGATAAATCAGTACTGTCCATAAGACACTGTAAAAGCAACAAAAATCTTTTAAATCTACCTAAGTTTGAAAGGTGCAAGATGAAGTAAGTTATAACATCTGTTTTGAGATTCCTTGCCCTTGCAAAAATTGGAAGTTTAAAGTTCTCTCAGATGATTTTTTCATTTCCTTATGCTTTTAAAGACATTTAGCAATTTACAAAAAGTTGTATTT